GTGAAGGGCTGTGTCGGCACTGGAGATAAGGAAATAGACTTCGAGTCCATATCTCAGATGCCTTTCCTCGAGGCCGTCATCAATGAGTCTCAACGCCTGCACACCATTTCCATACGTATGAGACGTACGGCAGTAGCCGACTATAAGTTGGGCGACACCGGTATCACCATTCGTAAGGGCGATACGGTTGAGATCCCATTGCATGGGGTACACCATTATGAGCACTACTACCCCAACTCCAATGTGTTCAACCCCTACAGGTTTATACCCGAAAATAAGGACAAACTGGTGCCCAACACATACTTCCCGTTCAGTTTAGGTAACCGTCAGTGCATTGCTATGCGATTCGTGTTACTGGGGCTCAAGACTACACTCATTCACCTCATAATGAGGTATAAGTTTGTAACGACAGTCCACACCGACCGTCCCCTACGACTAGTGTCCAGTATTGTCCATCACTCACCACAACGCCTACTGTTAGGCCTGGAAAGGCGTGTTGCAGGCAATTAATTTTGAATATACCGAGGGCTAATTTCCCAGATAAATTTAATTTTTACCCAGTTATTTGAATATGATCGCATACCAGTCCCCCTCAACTTTTACACTTAAGTAAAGTTATAAAAATTGATTTCCAATTCATAAATAACTCCTCAAATAATTGGTGAGAGAAAGGGAAATACGAGTCATCATTATTTGCAATTAATTAGTGATAACACCGGCTATTGAGGCGATTGTGAAATACAATTTACAAAACTTATATTATTTGATTAAATATTAAGATATGTCAAATTCACATTGTAAACTACTGTATGTATTTAAGTATAAGAATCTTCAATAAGTTTCGAGAGCAAAGATTGTTTAATAGCTCGCTTATTACTTGCAGCTAAAATCTATACATTGGCACACTTAAAGTTCATTATGAGGTAGTAATGAAAAAACAAGAATATTTTGTATGACACCCGGAATATTCTGTGATATTGGATGGTTTGCTGGACCCATA